CTCTCTCTCTCTCTCTCTCTCTCTCTCTCTCTCTCTCTCTCACACACACACACACACTCTCTCTCTCTCTCTCTCTCTCTGACAGAGACCCTACGTTATAAGATTGTTTTGATTGCAAAGCCAAGCCCTGAAATGTTTGGAAAGCCAGATTTATGGTTGCCTGTGCAACCTTAATTTGGCCCCCTTTTGGGTATGCTTTATAATAGAGTTTCTAATTACAAGGACTTTGAGGTTGCTAAACTTTGTAACTAACGAAGAGACTTTGGACTGGAAGTATTCACCCAACACAGTTACAGCTAAATACAACTGGCACATGCCCAGTTTCAGGAAACATGTAGATGATTCATGTGATTCACTGTTTTTCCACAGAATCCCTAAATTCTGACTTTTCCCAGCTTTTGAGTGTTTGATTTTTCAACTTTAACAGCTTTTTGGGGTGCAATTTCTAAGGTTTTAAAAAAATGGAATGTTCAGAGAATTTGCTGCCCGCTTCTAACAGGCCTCTAATGAGCATATGCAAATGACAATTGTCAGAAGCTTGTAACTCACAGGGACAGAAAAAGGCACTTCTCCAACACCAGGATGACACCCACCATCAAATTTCAAATTCCCGTTTCACAGCCTGGAGATAAGCAAAATGGTTGTAAGACTTTAACATTAGCAAAACAATCCATCTCCCCTACTCTGGTTCTTAGAAACGGCTGAATCATTTTAGATGAAACTTTTCAAAAACATCCAGCTTACGGCAGACTCCCAGCATGGAAAATTGCAGCCTGAAAGATTAAAATTTGGCAAAATTACAGGCAACTGGAAAGAGGGTTTTATAATGAAAGTGCCAGGCAACCTTAAATAGAGGCGTTTCTGCTAGTTTTGCTGATGTACGCACACACAAAGTATTTAGTAGCTGCTGGAAATATTGTATTTATTCTTTTCTTCAGTTCATAAGAGTCTGAAATACTTAGCAGCAGGAGGAAATGGACGAGATAGAGAAAGTCTGCCATTGTTAAGAAAGGTTTCAGAGTTAAGAAAACACCTTTAGCACCAAGATGTTCCTTGAGTAGAAGCATTTAGTGTGTGATTGAATGAACTTTGCTGCTTTTGGCCTGAGTGGGCCAAGGATTTGTCATGTGATAGGTTGCTTCAGAACTTGGTGTTGCTCTCTCCCTTGATGGGCTGGTTACACATGTGGTTCCCAGGCCGGACAGCGCACACATTTTCTGAAGATAGCTGTAGATTCGCTAAAGTATCCAGCTGTCTGCTCAGTAATAACTACATTTTGCACTCTGCTCTTAAGTGGGCGATTGCTCTGAGAATACAACTCACAGTGAATTTAGGCAGGCCGAATGTATGAACCAGGGCTGGAATTTAGATACATTCAGATCTTTCGTAACCAAGTGGTCAGGATCTCGACTACATGCCTCATTCAGAAGAAAGCACCTTTAACAGCACAGTTTCCCTTAAGAGAATGCCTGGGCATCTGTTCAGCTGTGAGTCAGGGAGAACAACATCTCTTACAAGCCTCCAGCACAGATTTCTGGATTTCCCTGCGAGGTCTCCCATCCAAGGAGTGACATATTCCAAAACAATTAGCTTAGGAGACTGGCAGAATCACTGCTCCCCAGGATAGAGTTCCCCATCCCGTCTGTATGGCCCTACACTCTTTGTTCCCAGATGTATGACCTTACATTTGACCTCCCTGAAATGCATGATGTTTGATTGTACCCAGTCAGCCAAACGAACCAGATCACTCAGTGTCAGTAACCTGTCCTCATCATTTACCACTCCCCCAAACTTTGGGACATCTGTTACTGTGCCTTTGTGGGCCACAACGGAGGATGCCAAATTCAGGACAAACTGCTGAGAAATAGAGCAAACATACCCCAAAACTGATGGATATTCTTCCATAAGAGATACCAAACCAGAAACAAAAGTTAACTTCTGTTTCACCACAGTGGCTAATAAGAAGTCATAAAAGCAGTTTCCTTAGGCATTCCAGTTCTTATATTACCACCAAAACCACTGGATTTAGAGATGAGTGGTTATTAAAACCAATTTCAATAAATAAAAAGGTTCTTCTGATCCCAAAGGACCAGCCATACACCCAGGTCAATATACAACTTAGATCTTACCCAAAAGTCACGCTGATGCCAATCCTTTAATATCTAAAATCCAAAGGTTTATTCATAAAAAGAAAGAAAGGTGAGAGTTACAACTGGTAAACGGAATCAAATACATACAATAATTGCAAAGTTCTTGGTTCAGGCTTGTAGCAGTGATGGAATAAATTGCTGTCTTAAGCCAAGTCTCTGGCTTCCAAATCATTGAAAGGTCCTCAGATTCCTTGCTTAGAGTGCTTCCATTAATATAAGTTCATAGTCCAGAGGCTAGAGCAGAAAAGAGGCAAAATGGAGGTGTTTTCAGGCCTTTTATAGCTTTAGCCATGTGGAGGGAATCCCATGGTTCTCACTGTGGAAACTTACAGCAACAAGATAGAGTTTGGAGTCACATGGGCAAGTCACACGTCCATGCATTTCGCCTAATCACAGCAGGAAATTCCGTTAAGTGTAGATAGGCGTCTCCCATGGTCCATTGTCAGTTAAATGTTCTTTTGATGGGCCACTCAATTTGAATAGTCCCTCCAAGATGTTCTGGCTGGTTACCTTGTGGGTGTTACCCCAGGAGCAAACATTTGAAATCCAGGTATAGAGCCAAAACTTATAACTTCAAATACAAAAATGATACATGCATACAGATAGCATAATCATAACCAGCGAATCATAGCCTTTCCATAGACACCTCACTTGACAACCTTTGTATAAGATTTGATGCAAATATATAACAGTGGTTGCAATGATGATCTATATGGTCATATTTTAATCAGATAATGCCACAACATCTGCAAACTTTTTGGAAATGATTTTATGTTTTCTTCCAGGTTATGAATAAAAATATTAACTAGCATAAGGCCAGGGACTGATCCCTGCTGAACCCCACTAGAAATACCTGCTTGATAAGGATTTCCCAATTACAATTATATTTTGAGATCTATAAGCCTCATTTATAATTAGGGCTCTACCAAATTCATGGTCCATTTTGGACTATGTCATGGTCATAGGCTTTTCAAAATCGTAAATGTCATGATTTCAGATATTTAAGCCTGAAATTTCCCAGTGTTGTAACTGTAGGGGTCCTGACCCAAAGTGTGTGTGTGTGTGTGTGTAGGGGGTTTGCAGGGTTATGGTAGGGAGATCGCAGTATTGCCACCCTTACTTCTGTGCTGCTGCCTTCAGAGCTGGGCCCTCAGCCAGCAGCCACCACTCTCCGGTCGCCCAGCTCTGAAGGCAGGAGCACAGAAGGGTGGCAATACTGCGATCTCCCTACAATAACCTTTGCAACCCCCTGCAGCACCTTTTGAGTCAGGACCCCGAGTTTGAGAAACGCTGGTCTCCCCCGTGAAATCTGTATAGGATAGGGTAAAAGCACACAAAAGACCAGATTTCATGGTCTGTGACGTGTTTTTCATGGCCATGAATTTGGTAGGGCCCTACTGATAATGTGCCATGTTGATTTGGTATAGTTCTGGTTTACCAAAATGTTGTGTGGTGTCAATGCCTTACAGAAGTATTTTATATCAACACTACTGCCTTTATCAACCCAACTTGTAATCTCATCCAGAAACGATAAAGGTAACTCCATGGAGCAGTGCCAAGGAATTTACACAGTGGTTCAGTTCAGCATAAGTGTAAATTCACCTCACTGCTCTCCTTGGTTTCTCTCAACTATTTTCAGAGCATTCAGATCTGGACTCTGATGTGAAGAGCGATGAGACCGATGGGGTGGAGGCGGAGAAGTGGTTTGGCACAACCCGTCCACCTTGATAGTTAGAAGAGGCCAACTGCCAGCAGCTGCAGCACTAGGAGCCTCTCACTTTTAGGGCACTGGCCCAATGCACACAAATCATTTGTGACCTAAAGTCTTTATTATCTGACAGCTTTTTGGAGTTGGAAAGAGGAGCTAAGTTCAGTTCAGATGGCCTAAGATGGCCTCATCACCGAAACCAGCACCACCACAGATGGTTCTGTGTCCTACCTCCGCAGCAGGCTGACGACCACCGGATCTTCATGGAGCTTGATGACACCTTCTCACTCATCAGGCTGGTTCTTCCAGGCCAGAGTCGTGCCACGCACACCTCTGTTCCTAAGGGTGTGTTAAGTTTCTTAAACTTCATATTTTAGAAAAAAAAATCAGGGAGAGTGAACCAGTTAAAACAAACTTTTATTTAGCAAATTATATTAAGAATACAGACGACGTTATCACACAATGAAACTTCCCTTTGTAAAATACAGGAGGGTGATCTAAAATAAATATAAAAAGTCAGAACATTCATCAGGTTAATACATAGTAAATTCACTTCCAATAGCCCAACAAAAATGCAGCATCTTAAAAACATTTCACAACTGCATAAAAGGTTTTTCTTTTCCATTTCTATGACACAACAGTTAAAACTGTTGCTGTTAGGAATTCGTTTCACAACAAACAACCCAGAAAGATTCAACCAGTTTGGTTTCCCTGTACCAAATGAACAGACGAAATCGAGCAGCGCCGCACTTCCCCTATTGACAACCGTGTCCGACTTTTATGGCTCAGAATTACCAGTGTTGAAGTGTGTCCTGTTATCCTCTCTCTTCATTGCCACAGAGAGAGCTTTACCTTAAAGTGGTTCTTCAAGGCTCAAAGGCTGAGGTAATAGTTAATGCAATGATACGAACACACCCTCTGCGATGGGAGGAAGTCAGCCCTATGCAGAGGATCCTGAGAAGACTTAGGCACCACTTATGTCCCACGTAAGCTATTTGGAGGACATGTCGGCCTACTGCTGACCCTCAGCACAGGGTTGATTCTTCCCTATATGCATGATGTGAAACTCACAATGGGGACCATAAATCCTGGAGGAGTCAGTGTCAGGGACAAGGCCTGTCTCCTCCCGTGGAAAGCTGGAGTTATTCTGCTCAGCTCCATGGGGTGAGACTCCACCAGCAAAGCTCCTCTCACTCCAAGGCAATTGCCCATTTTGTTTAAAGGGGTAAAGCCTAGTGCAGGAGGCAGCCATCTTATGGAGCTGTTTGCACTCAGCTCTTGGGAGCTCAGGGAAAGGGGCCACAAATCCAGTTCTATTAGATTCAACAATGGCTTTGAAGTTATAAAAAAAAACATTTTAAATACCAAACCTCACTGTTGTTCTTCAGGTGGTTTAACCCCACAGTAGAGCAGCTTGGAGCTCAGCTCTAAGCCATCTCTGTCTCCAGCTCCCATCCATGATGTCACTTTCCAGCAAGATGGCTACCCCGGCCCAAGCTGAGCCCGCCAGTCAGGACCTTGCCGCCGAATGCTGGTGAGAAGCATGCCCCAGCACCGAGGCGAGCAGAGATCTGGGATGGACAAACCAGGCCACAGCACGGGATCAGCAGAACATCCAGTTCCTTAAGCAATTTGTACAGAAATTTAATTCACAAAAAGTGGAGCGTGAAGGTGCAGCCAGGTGAGGCCTGGGAAGAAAGGAAAGGTGAGGGGAGCGTGGGGCAGAGGGGAGGAAGGGCAGAGAAAGACAAAGGTTGCTTGGGGGAGAGTGGCTGAGAAATGGCTTTTGCCAGCCACACCCAATCCTACCTCTCTCAGGCTACACACCCCTTTGGAGATACAGGGGTGGGGACGGATCATGGGATCTCCGAGGCTCCGCCAACAAGCCTACAAACTGTGAAGTGCTGTGCCCGAGTCCACTGAGACCAGCTCAGCCTCTTCTGTCTTTGACAGTTTTGGTTTTGAGAAATTAGAAGACTGGTGAAAAACCCAAATAAACTCAGCACCACAGAATACTGATCTCTAACTAGCACAGCGGGGTCACAATGGACTGTCCCTGCAAAGCACCTACTCAGAGCGAACTCCTGGCAAGGGACGCAGCAATGGAAGGAGGGTTAGGAGCAGTCTCATCCCACATGAATATGGCTATGTGATGAGGGAATGTATCAGCTAATTAACCACACTGGCATTTATCACAATGTTCACAGGCTACATCACTCTGGGAATAAATCCTTCCCTCTCTATTACTACTACATGGGATTTCACAATCTAGTTACCTGGCTGGCCCAGGAGCTAGCCGCATACATTACTGCAGTTCTGCCCTTTGCTAGGGGAACATCACCCTGGGAAATCCCAGGGCAGTGCATCATTGTTAATAATTCATCTGACTGCAAGCAAACTCCCACTTTCCCAGCACTGTCTCCTCAGCAGTGTCAGGAGATTTCATGATTACTTGGCAAAGTAATTTCTTCTTCTTCCAAGTGGAAGCTGCACACTGCTTAGCTTGCTCTGGGGATAGACGTGGGCTGACCAAGACACACTCATTACTGGTAGGAGGAACCAGCCCTTCTGTTTTACATCCACTCACCACCACACCTTCTGTCCAGGAGGCCTGGTCATGACCCCCCTGCAGCCACTCCTATCTCAATCTCAGGGTTCAGTGCAGAGCAGTGGACACACTCCCGCCTCTGGGACTGCCCGGGCCAACGCTGGAGAACTCACACCTTGTGTGGGGAGTAAGACACGTAATCGGAAATCCACTTGCCAGTGGAGAGCAGTAATCACTAGGAACCAGGGCCAGCCCTGCATGGAGTTATTTTGAATAAGAAAATTACTGTTCAGTAATTAAAACCTGCCTATTGAAAGACTGATGTGATGCCTGCAGAGACAGAAGGGGGAAGCACCCCATAGCTAATGAGTTCCAAAGGAAATCACTTGCACCATTGTCAATCTGCTTATACTCCTTCCTGCATTGCACTCCGAGCCCTCTTGTCTAAGAAAATACTCACAGCCATTCGAGCAGGTCTGAGAGTGCACGAGAGGTTCTGACCAACCGTCCATGGACCTGACCCAACAAACTCCATTTGCCCTACACTCTTGTGCAGGTCTGCAGCTGTGCCGGCCAAGCCTGTGGCACGGAAAATCTCTGACGTGTCACTGGCAAACTGCACAAGCACAAATGTGAAGGTCAAATGTTTATTTTCAGCCTTTCTTTGCAGAGAAACAGCTTTGAAACAGCTCTGCCAGGGCTGGGAGAGGGAGGGGAGGAGGCAGCCTCCATTGAACAAATCCTTGTCCCAGTTGGACACCCTGTCAACACCTGGAGCGATCCAGAGTTCGGCATGTGTTGTGTGTGTCTCGTCTCTCAGAAGACGCTGAGGAGAAATGCACTGTCACTGTTGCTAAGCAGTTTATAGCATTGACTCTAGTTCCTGAGAGCTACGGATGCACTCTAAGCTACTCCCACAAATAGGTTGGCAAAGCTCCAGATGGGCTTTAAAAAGCAGTCCCGACATTTCAGTCACCAAAGCGAGGTGGTTTCCACAGCTCAGTCTGCTGAACCGAATGCTGCAGCCGCTGACAGAAATTCCTAAGGGTGCCAAGAAAACGCTCTGTGGCCCCAAGTATCGATCGGTGTTTGATAACCACAGATATTGGCTTAGCTCTGATTTAGAGCAGGGGTACCCAACCAACAGGGCCATTGGCCTGTTCTCAGCAGCCTATGCTGTCCACTGAAATGTGTCTACAATGGAGCAGCTGGGTCTGGCCTCCCCTGGAATGAGGAGAAGCTGTCCATTGGGACGACAGCTCCCATAGGAGACACTCCACCTTCATTGGCAGAACTCTGGACCATGCACTAGCTATTCTGCTGTTAAATCGGAAGCTCCCAAATCTCCAGCTTCAGTGTGTGGGGAGGGGCAGCTCTGTGACACTAACTATCATCCTTACGCTAGGACCGACGTTGCAGAAAACCTTGACCTGCCTGTTACTACATCCACAAAAACAACGAGGAGTCCGGTGGCATCTTAAAGACTAACAGATTTATTTGGGCATAAGCTTTTGTGGGTAAAAAACCCACTGCATTGCATCTCAAGAAGTGAAGCTTTTTACCCACAAAAGCTTATGCCCAAATAAATCTGTTAGTCTTTAAGGTGTCACCGGACTCCTTGTTTTTGTGGATACAGATTAACACACCTACCCCGATACATCCACAAAGCTGCCCTCAGCCAAGGAGGGAGCGACAAATTGATCGACAATGAACTACAGGACAAGTTACAGACAGCTGAAAGGTAGGAAACACAAGAGATGGATGGGATGGACAAACGACTGCAGTGTGGAGTGAATTTGAACTTCAAGTGAACCTGAGCAGAATGACCAGGCTGACTGCGCTAGCTTCCGTGATATGTTCATTGGTTGATGTCAGCACCATCAATCTAGCCTCTGTAAAGCTTGGCAGTAAAGGCTGGCTTTGCTTTCCTGCAGCAGAAAATAAGAACTAAAAGCCACTTTGGAACCTTAAAGGAAAGGAGCACCTTCTGGGAGTCACCCAGGCCTACACCAGCTGATGCCAAATATTACAGGCCTTAAATCTTGTGCTCAGACCTGACCCTTTTATAACCATATACGCCCATTCTTCCAACAACAGAGCTGGTCTCTAAGAGGCAGTTAGTAAAAGAGAGACTGGTCTGGAGAGTCAAAGCAGAGAACTGGAATCAGGTTCTACCCAGAATGCTATGGTGTTTTGCACTTATTTCCCCCCAGAAACATGGTACAGTGCTTTGAAACCAGAAATGGATCATTGGACAAGAAATATTTTACATATGTACAAATATGAAATACACAAAATACACAAATACCAAAACCTACTATTAGTCAACATTCTGTTAGACTAGAGAATTCAGGAAAGTCAAAAGCAGTGCAAAGCGGGTCCGAATAACCCAAACCCAGAGCTACAATACCAGTATTTGTTACTGTGGCAATTGCATTTTAATAGGGTTAGACAACCTGTCTTTTACAATACAAAAAGTTGCACACTTCAACACTTACTTTTAAAAAATGCCATTTCGCTGCTGTAATGTAGTTTTGTTCCACAGCAGACTTGAAAAGCAGCACAGAGCTCAGATGAATGCTTCTAAAGAACTTATTACAGCAACAGACTTCACCAAGACATGCATTTGACTCAGGAGTGAGCCAGGGACACCACTTGTAAGCATGCTGAGGTCAGGGTTTAATGCATCAAACACTTGCCCAGTGGAACTCTCTCAGCCTTGTCCGACATGGTCAGGCTTTAGCATTTCCCTCCCCGAGTGCAGCAGTGTGCAGGGACAGGGCGCACAAATCTCTTTCCTTTTAGCAGCCAGCAGGGGCAAATGTTTGAAAACTGCCAAAGTAACTGGCAGGTTCCAATGCCCACTTTATGGGCAGGTGCCATGGCAAAGCTTTCGGGTGGCTGGGAGAAGTCAGGATGGCATTGCTGAGGTCTGGCTGGCTTGCTCTCCATAGGCCAGAGAGAGCTACGCAACATTTGCCACGATCCTCTACTTCCAGGCAATGGACACGCAGCCTCTTTGGGCCAGGGAGAGGTGCCACTGAGATCCCTACTCCACTTTGCCAGCGACTTGGGAGAGAGCCCTAAGTGGATCTGAGCGAGCGAGCGACCCTGGCTACGTGAACTGAAAGTAACAAAAACCATTAAGGTCTCAGGTGTATCCTGGCCACAAGTGAGCTGTTGGGTAGTCTGGACTTGGAGAAGCAGAGGAAGGGTTTACCATTACTCAGGGTTAGCTTAAATCAAAGGACTTGAAAGGCCTGGACCGCTGACCCTGCACAAACCAGAGAACGCTGCTGTACTGAGAGGGGCAGCTGGGGCAGTTTATCCTGCTGCACCTCAGTTCCCAGTTTAAGCTGGTGCATTTTGTGAGTTGTGGACTAACTGGCTGTATCTTTAGCCTCATTTCCCCAAACGCTCTATCCTAGCAGGGCTCATTGCTGGGAATCTCTCCAGAGTCCCGCGAGCTGGGGCCCCTGGCTTGCAGCATTTCACTCCAGATCTGTATTGCAGTGAGCACGCTGCAGCAGGTGCCATAAAGCAGGGAGAACTGAGGAAGTCATCGGTCAAGCTTTAACTAAGGGACTCCTGACCAGAAACTGCCCCAGCAGGGCTAAGGGGTGAGGGCGCCTGGCAGAAAGGGTTAACAGAGTCCAAATCTCAGAAACAACATGTACAGAATGATCGGGGAAAGCGCAGGAAGGAAGGCAAGTCGTTAGAAAAGCGTCCTGTCTGCCGAGAAGGGTTCCAGTAACACTGCTCATCAGGGCTCGCCTCCCATCAGTAGTATCTGTGCGCGTCTCCAGGGAGCCGGCCTTCCCTCGCTCCTCAGGACTGTGGCATCTGCTGACATCTAGTGGGGCTGGGGGGCAGCCGGGCAGCAGCACTTTGCTCTGTCCTGAAGCTGTAGTCATACTAGAGAGCAAAACAAAGAGAGAGAGAGACCAACACAGGAGTGACAACGCTGCGAGGGAGCGGGCTAACGCTGCGTCACTAGCACTAGCCGCGAAGAGCAGCACGTGAGCTCTCGTCTCAGACCCACCCTTCTCGCCACCCGGTGCAGGGTAAAATGGGACATGCCCTGCTCCCTGGTGCGGCACCCAGAGCCGTTTACACAGAGCGACGCATTGTACCTGGGTGAGCGATGTGCCTCTCGGCTCCAGGCACACCCCCAAGCCCCTCTGCGTTCTTGCACAGAGCTCTCCCCAGCCTGCCCGCAGCCCTGCTCCCACCAGTGCTGCCCAGTGCACTGGCCAGAGGAGGCGAAGCAGAAGGCTAGTCCAGGATCACACTTGCTGCCTCTTCCACTACACACCGGCCCTTTCAGTCTGTAGCATTGCTCTCTGCTGCCAGCTCAATATGCTGCACAACGTTCATTGAGAGAAAGAGGGGTGTGTCCCAAGCCCTGCTGAGTCTTTCGCTTTTCCTCCAACAACTCATTCTTGTTCAAAGTGTAAAATTATAATCCAGACCTGTGCTAAGGAATAAATGGAAAAGCAATTCTCAGTTAGTGGGAACAAATGCTCTTTAGCATTTCCAAGTGCTGGTCCATAGCCAAGCTCCCAGAGTGATGCTGGTGTGGCCAGTGGAACCAGCAGGAACACTGGCAGTGGGAATGCAGGGAATTCCTTCCTCCAGATTAAGTAGCTCCTTGTGCTGAGATAAATTGGAACATATTATCTGACCTCTCGTGGTCCCTTCCAGTCCTAGAATCTATGAATCTATGAATCTATCTATCATGTAAAGCAGCGGGAGGAATATTTCTCCTCTCAGGGAGTGGGTACACAACCTTGCACCAGTTTAATTAAACTGGTTTAGTTAGATGGTGCTACCCCGTGAATAGACCCTCTTATTTCACCCCGAGTGGGGCTTATTTCAGTTCAGCTTAAACTGGTTCCTAATCGATTTAAAATAAACAAAAATAAACCGGGTTTAAGCTGGAACAAAAGAGTGTCCATGTGGAAAATCAAACCTCACATGAAGCCAGAGCACCTCTGTGCAGGGGGGCCCTGGAGAGCTTTGCCTTTGATTTCCCTGAGAACAGGACCGACCGGGGCTGGGCGCGGCAGAACTTAGGCTACCCCGCAAAAAGCCGCTTTCTAACGTCAGCTCCCGAGGCCTTTTCTGGGCAGTGATTCGCTCTGACACCCAGCGTGACTTTCAGCAGGATTCGGCCTGGCCGGCTGGCTCATAACCAGGGCATTTGTCTCCAGAGATGCCCTGCGTGCACAGACTAAAGGACACAGCGCTTCCCTGCCAGAAATCCATCTTCCAACAGCAATAACAGCCACAGCCCAGGGCTTTTCCTGAGGATTTATGGCTGGCTGGGATCCCCCAATGAACCTCTGGCCATCAGCTCCTCCCAGCCAGCATTAATCCCCAGGAAATGCCCTGTGCCTGACCATTAGTGCTTAGAGGTTGTCACTGAGAAGAGCTGTAAGTGCATGGTAACACTGCCATCTTGTGGCAAATCGTGGCTCATACACTTCCAAGACCAATCAACTGAGCACATGCTCTCTCATCAATACTGAAATATTTTGCTCTTCTGTGGCATCTTTCAGCCCAGGATCCAGGTAATTACAATTAGTTAAGTGGCATAAGAATGATCACGCCAGTTGGACACATGGGAAAAATGCAGCACACAGCAATTAAGTGACTTACCCTAGTGGCAGTAAGGACTAGAACCTAGGAATCCTGACTCCCCTTCCCCTGGCCCTAGCTCTGGTCACTAGGGTCGTTCATACCCTCTTCTCCAAAGTAACCAAACAAGCAGATGCTGAAGAAGCCATTCCAGCCCTTCTAGTCCAGAGCAAACGCCCCCTTTGTCCCGGACACCTAGTTACACAGCTTAAGCAGTCCCTCTACTGCGGCCAAGAAACATACTGAAGGAGGAAATACTGAATCATTTAAACTGACCCGTCACTATCACTGCTCAGTAAAATAACCTCGGCCCTGACTAGTAAGTGTGACTGTCACACGCGCAGCACGCAGCGAAAGCCATTCACAATGGCTAGTAACAGCCTTGGAGCAGAGCGGAGGGTACTGACACGGGCGAATGGGGTCTGGCAATTAAAGCGGGTTTTCCCCACTCATTAAAGCCTTCTCCCTGCTGTGACACTGGTGGAAAGCACCACAGGGATAATGGTCACTGAAACCACCAAACTGCAGCTGGGTTCCTCACGCCTGGTTCTGGGCTACAGTTCCGGTTGGATCGTGCCTTTCACACCCCCAGCTCACAACAACAGCAGGGAGCCTGCATGAACGGGGCTCCCCGTTCCCTGAGACAGCCCCTCTGAGTGACTCTGGGAGGGCTGCCTCGGCGGCACCCCCCCCCCCCGGGGAAGAGAATGACCTGCGTCTATGGACTGCTGACCTCGCCGGCCCTCCCTCTGGCAAACGCAGACGTGGAACCAATGTGGGACATGCTGCCGTGGTGATGGGGTCTGGAAAACGTGATGGGCACAGCCCTTCAGGAGAATGAACCAGCCCTGTGCACGTGCCTCCTGACAGGCAGGATGCGTATCTGAGGGCAAGAGTCTCACAGCATGGTCCAACAGAGGGGCTAAACTTGGGAAAGGCCCTAAACCTTCATACCCCCAAACACCACTTCTCCCAGGTGTCCGGCTGCCAGCAGCACTCAGCCAGCAACTCACAGCACGTGGGGCGAGCCGAATGATTTAGGCCCTCTTTGTCACACACAGACAGCCAGTTTATGCTCACAGGGGAATTTCCCCTCAGCCCAGGCATTTGACAGGCACTGTCTGCAGCTAGTTCTTAGTCTGTATCTCACATGTGCGTGGCTCCTCCCCATGACAGGACAGAGCTCACACTGGGCTACTGTCCCCCAATGGGATTAGCATCCATCTAAAAGCCAGCTTTCCAGTCTGAACCCCCCCACAGGGACCGTCTCTTACTATGCGTCTGTACAGCGCCGAGCACAGCTAGGTCCTGGGCATGCAGGTCCTATCATGAGAAAACCCAACCAGTCAGTGTAGGGCTGTTTCCACAGGCACTCGAGCCAATCGACTCCTTCACTGGGACATCTGGAGGAAGCCAGCACCAAAGGACCGCCAGCACCAAAGGACCAAACTCATATGAAGCAAATTGAAATGTGTGTGGAAGCAGCTCTGCTTGGAAGTTGTGTGGAGATAGCTGCCCAGTTCTAACTACGGCCCTACATCGTTGTGGTGTCTGTGCACTGGAGCCACTTGCATTTACACACCCAATGGGTCGTTTGTGAATGTGGAGGCGGCAGGACGGCTCCATTCGGAAAAGCACCTACGCACAGGTTTCGCTCTCGACCGTGCTCGCTGGTTCTTCCTGACTGGGCTCTGTGTGAAGGAGGGCTCGGTTTGTCTGTTCCACGGTCTCAGAGCTCAGCCATGCTGCTTATCGCTGTGTTGGTGGGGGGGGTTCCCGGGTTCGTACAGCTGGGCATGCACAGCGCTGGGGGACTGGCCCAGCTCTACTGACCCCTCTGCATCAATTCCCCGGGACGACTCCAAGCCCCTTCCTCTTGACCCTCACTCACGGGTCATAAAGGCAGATGTGCAGCCTGCTCCGCTCGGCAGAGACCCCACTGACGAGGAGGGCTCAGAACTGGGGCAACAGGCCACGAGTACCCGCCGCTCCAAGCCGCTGGGTGGGGGACCGCTAAGGGGGAGAAGGGGCAGGGAGGACCCATAGGTACCCAGACTCATTTCTCGCTGTCCTTGTTGGAGAGGCAGGTGTTCCTAGCCTGGGGCAAGGGCCGGAGCAGGTGGGCCTATGGCTCCTTCTACCCAGAGCTACCAGCAAATGCACAGGGCCTGGTGCTAAAAGGACACTGGTCATGGCCCAGAAGGCAAGGGATACTCAAATCTCCTCCCCTGCTTGTCCGTGCCCTGCCCAAGCTAGAGAGGTCTCCTGTGCACCAGTATGGGCCTCGTTAACATCCCCTTGGCAACGATGCCATCACCGGCCCTGCCAACGAGCTCAGCTGGGCCAGCTCCTCCAGGCACAGGGAGCCAGGCCAGCCGAGGACCGACATGGCAGGAGAATGCCTGGGCACAGGAGCTCTGAAGCTCCTCGCTGGGCTCTAGGGTTAGGCCAAGCCCAGGGGCCCAGCGGGCTGGAGCCTGGGATGTATGGGCCCACACGCTGGGCAGGGACCCCCCCATCAGTGATTTCTGTTCAAACCTGAGAGCATGCAGCAGAGCTCGGGAGCACCCCGCGGCTCCACTGGCCGAGGACCAGTGCTGGAGGGGTCTGAGCGCAAACAGCCATCCCCACGCTAAACCCACCTCTGAAGGCAGAACAGAATCATAGGACTGGGAGGGACCTCGAGAGGTCGTCTAGTCCAGTCCCCTGCACTCGTGGCAGGACTAAGTGTTTTCTAGACCATCCCTGACAGGTGTTTGTCCAACCTGTGCTTAAAAATCTCCAATGCCGGAGATTCCACAATCTCCCTAGGAAATTTATTCCAGTGCTTAACCACCCTGACAGTTAGGAAGTTTTTCCTAATGTCCAACCTAAACCTCCCTTGCTGCAATTTAAGCCCATTGCTTCTTGTCCTATCCTCACAGGTTAAGAACAACAATTTTTCTCTCTCCTCCTTGTAACAACCTTTTCTGTACTTAAAAACTGTTATGTCCCCTCTCAGTCTTCTCTTCTCCAGACTAAACAAACCCAATTTTTTCAATCTTCCCTCATAAGACATGTTTTCTAGACCTTTAATCATTTTTGTTGCTCTTCTCTGGACTTTCTCCAATTTGTCCACGTCCTTCCTGAAATGTGATGCCCAGAACTGGACACACTACTCCAGTTGAGGCCTAATCAGCGTGGAGTAGAGCAGAAGAATTACTTCTTGTGTCTTGCTTACGACACTCCTGCTGATAGATCCCAGAATGATGTTTGCTTTTTTTGCAACAGCGTTA